TCTCCTAAAGGTTGACATCTTTATCGAAGCACATTCGGAGTGAAATTGTATTTTATTGTTTGAGCAATTCCAGGCCTAGTAACAGCCGATAAACGTCAACAGGGTGAACTGTGGGGGATGTACTACCTGTCCGAGACGCCGCCAACCCCTATTTGTTTCAAAATGTCGTCATTTTAATTCTTTCTCCTTTGTAACGCAGGCCGACAACAGGTAAAAACGCTTTGTAGGCAAATTCTTTTGTTTAACTCTCTTCTCCCCTTGTCCGCTACTTGAATTATTACGACCTATTTGGTTGCATTCCACCTCCCGCTCCCTGTTACACACCGTTTTCCAATAAATTCTTAAAATTATTTACATTTAATCGTTATCATTACCCGTGTGAAAAAAAGGTACATGCATATTTTATAACAGTATATATACATTTATGGACAAAATAAACGGACCATCCTTAACTTTTAATATACACTGACAGGCATAAAATTCCACCCACTTGTAATATAAATTTATTTGTATATATTTTTATATATTAATCAAAGTTTCACGTTTTTTAATACTCACTCTCAACATGACACTCAAGAATGGCACAATTACACAGAAGACAAACACTTTGAGCCCTGAAGATGATCTCAATAAAGATCGAAACGTTGGTACGATAAAGAAAATGTTTTTCTGAAACCTACCTCACACCAGATCGCATCTCACGATTTCTGAATAATCGTTTTTTAATACGTTTAATAATAGAGTCTCCGTCTAAAAAGGTAAAAAAAAGTAAATTGCCAAGGAAAATGAAAAATGAAAGATAAAACAAAAAAACATAAAATTTGTTTATTAGTTTTTTAATTAACATTTCAATATCGCGTATTTCCTCTTCTTCTCTTAATTATATCTCGAAGACGCCTCGGCATACTTTCTACCAGCCTGGAAATGTCTCTTTGCTGGAGATTATTCGGAAATCGTGAGATGCGGTCTGGTGTGAGGTAGGTTTCAAAAAAAAAATTTTCTTTATCGTGCCAACGTTTCGATCTTTATTGAGAACATCTTCAGGGCCTGGGATTTATAAACACATCCTACATGTATTTATAAAATTGAAACAATATTTATAAATCCCAGGCCCTGAAGATGATCTCAATAAAGATTGAAACGTTGGCATGATAAAGAAAATTTTTTTTGAAACCTACCTCACACCAGACCGCATCTCACGATTTCCGAATAATCATCGACTAACGGTCACAAATCACCACACTTTGCTCGAAGTTAGCCCATTCTTCACGAAGAGTCCTTTCAAGACGGTGGAGAGTATCAGTAAGTGATGGACGTGCTCTATTCGTCTTTTGATGTTATCCCATAAATGTTGGATGGGGTTGGGGTTCAAGTCGGGGAGAAAGGGCCGGCAAGGCTAAGGGATGTTATGCTGTTGAAGGTCATTAGGATTGGATTGTCGCAGATTTCATCGAGGATGGGAGTCAAAGATCCTCCACGAACAACCAACTCTGTGCGACTCTCCATTGAAATACCCGCCCACACCATCACTGAGCTACGTTGAAAAGTTTGGCTCTGGGAAAAATTACAGGCTTCGTGCCTTTAATTTCGCCTTCTCCACACTCTTTCACGCCCATCTGGAGATCGTAGAGCAAATCTGCACCCATCTGTAAAAAGTACAGCAGACCAATCATCCAACGACCAATGCTGTGTTCTCGAGCAAATGGGAGCCCTTCAACTCTGGGTGTTCTGGACAATTCCGGTTCTCTTGCGGAGCGAAAAGCCGTCAGTCCATACAGATTTAATCTTCTTCGAGCAGTGCGTTCAGAAATTTGGACACCTCGAACTTCCTGGAGCTGATGAATAGCTTTAACAGCAGTAAGGTGCCGGTTTCGCAAAATTCTAAAAGTCAAAAAAGGTCATCCTGTGGTTCTGTTACCCTAGGGCGTCCAGAACCGGCCCTCTATGGTAGGACCCGGCGTCTCGCAGTGTTTCGTATGGAAATACGATGGCAATAGCCGCATACATGATGGAACGTCCATCATCAATAAGCTCCGCACCACGCGCAACATCCGCAGCACTAACTGGCATTTTTAAGTTTAAAAATTGTACTTTTCACTCAATTCAATACAACGTAGAATTTGTTCGAATTTCTCGGTGAGAAGGAATCAACTACTAGGGCGTTACAAAAATTTGGTGCATATTAAAGTTTCCATTTTAATCCTTAATGGACTGTGATGTAAACAATGCATATATCGTTGTTTAATTTGACTAATCATTTATTTAATTATGTGTACCAACTGACTCTGCTTTCCATTTTATTTTATAAATCTCAACGAAAATGTCGTAAGAAAAAAATTGTCATTCGCGGTTTACTTAGGCACGATTGGAAAAAAGGACTAAGTGCGAAGACTGCAGCTGAGGAAATTTGTGCAGTAGAACGTGAAAATGTCGTGCATCTTAAAACTGCAGTGTTTCGGTTCAGGAGGTTCAATGCTGGGGACAACAGCCGTCAAGATGAGTCTAGATCTGGTCGTCCTTCAGAGGCGGATGATGCTGAATTATTCGAGTCTGTCAATAAGGATCCGTTTACGAATACTCGACGATTATGGTCTGAAACGGGGGCTTCAAATGAAACGGTAATGCGTCATTTAAAAAAGCTTAATGCCCGAAATATACCCAGATCCTCATGACTTGTCCTCAGCCGCCCAACCTCAACGTATCCTACGAGCCTTTTACATCGAAAAAGACAATAATTTTTTCTCGATTTTTTTGGGTATTTACCGTTTTTCTTGAAAGAAAAAAACCCTAAAAAACGAGCCTTTTAGATTAAAAAAACAATAAATTTTTTAAAGATTTTTTTGCGTTTTTCTTGAGAAAAAAATACGTAAAAAAAAGCCTTTTGCATCGAAAAAGTCAATAAATTTTTTCTCGATTTTTTGTTTTTGCGTTTTTCTTGAAAAAAAATTAAAAACGAGCCTTTTACATTGAAAATAATAAATTTTTTAGATTTGTTTGGGTTTTTGCGTTTTTCTTGAGAAAAAAAGGTGTCCAATAATAAAAATATTTTCGATTTTTTTTGGGGAGGGGGGATTTCTTGAAAAAACGTAAAATACGATTCTTTTAGATCAAAAAAGACAAAAAAAATTTTTAAAGATTTTTGAGCATTTTTCTTGGAAAAAAACGTAAAAAAAGCCTTTTACATCGAAAAAGACAATAAATTGTTGTTCGATTTTTTGGGGGTTTTTCTTGAAAAAACGTAAAAACGAGCCTTTTACCTCGAAAAAGACAATAATTTTTTTTTTCGATTTTTTGTTTTTGCGTTTTTCTTGAAAAAAAACGTGAAAAACGAGCCTTTTAGATCAAAAAGTCAATAAATTGTTTTTCGATTTTTTGGGGGTTTTTCTTGAAAAAACGTAAAAAAACGAGCCTTTTAGATAAAAAAAGACAATGAATTTTTTTTCGATTTTTTGCGTTTTTCTTGAAAAAACAAAACGTAAAAAAAGTGTCCTTCGAGCCTTTTACATCAAAATAGACAATAAAATTTATTTCGATTTTTTTTTTTNGTCATTATAATATAAACTATTAAAAAAGGATATAAAAATAAAAGTAAAGAAGGGCGCTTTTAACAAACAAATCATTATAAACAGATTAATAAATAACACAACAAAAGTAATAAATAAACCCTCAATTACATTTGAAAACTCATTCAATTTTTTTTTTAAGATCCAAAGGGACGAGGATACCATAGGGGTTCGCACTGATACCGAATTTATTTATGTAATGCACAGCTGTGGAGATTGAAGACTAACCCGTATTTGGTCCTGTACCCTGAAGTAATAAATAATTCATGGGTCTATAGTTAACGCAAGGGAACCCTAAAGCCAATACAAGATATCTCAGGGAGTTAATAAAATTATTTAGGATCTTCCACAGAAACACAACGGAAGCCAAAACTCTTCTATCCGCCAGAGAATCCAGGCCCACTAGAGCAAGCCTGGCTTCATAGGAGCAATGATGGTACTTCCTGTGATTGCATATCTTGTAACACAGGTATTTCATGGCCTTTCTCTGAACCCTTTCAATCATATAAGACCCATCTAAAGAACCCAGCGACCAAACAACATTGGCATACTATTGATGACTGAGCACCAGTGATAAAGTAATTGTGGCACACCATATCGGACATGGACAGGTTTCGGTAAGTCTTCACCAAATCTTACAAGAGACCTCTCAGAGAAAAAGGAGTCCACTCATCCCAAGAGGGGTTGGCCCATATCTAGTTTTTTGACCATTTTTTAATGTCATTACTTTTTGTTCACATATGCCTTGCAGGTTAGGTTGTAATTCTTATAAATATATAGGCAATAAATTGATGGCAATTTTGCTCAGTGTGGCATGACGAAGTGCCATATGTCATCCTATCAAATGTACTGTATTTTTGGTTATTTTTTAACTTTGTATCCCCGGTTGTACCTCTGTATGTCGCTGTCTGCAGTTTAACACTTTTAAACAGTCGCAATAGCTTTTTGCTTTGATGAGCTAGGCTTAGTTTTTCTCCAAGCTTTATCCCTAAACATTTTACCTTACCATTTGGTTTTATTGGATTTCCTTCTATTTTGCTTTGATGAGCTAGGCTTCGTTTTTCTCCAAGCTTTATCCCTAAAGATTTTACCTTACCACTTGGTTTTATTGGATTCCCTTCTATTTTGCTTTGATGAGCTATGCTTAGTTTTTCTCCAAGCTCTATCCCTAAACATTTTACCTTACCATTTGGTTTTATTGGATTTCCTTCTATTTTGACAATAGGAGCAGTTGCAAGTTTTACTTTGAGTAAGAGCACTTATAGGGGAAATTTCCGTTTTACCTTCGTGTCCTTTCAGTATTTTGTTTTATCAGTTTTGCACTTTTCTTCTTGATTCGCCTTAGGCTATGGTCATTTTAATTTGAAACATAATGTAATAATATATTTTTTCTGCTCTGGCAGCTTCAATTTTAATAGGTAATTTAAATAAAGTTAATGAAAAGTTGAAAAATATATTACATTTAGTAGATGCCATCATGACATATCTCAACTGGAACCATATATCCAGAAGAAAACATTCTGAAATCTTCTACAGAAAAAAGAGAAAACAATCATGTTATACTTGTTTAAAAACAATAACTAATTATTAAATACGGTAAAAATTCAACCTATACAAATCATTTTAAAATTATCTGACTTATGTGTTCTTATTCAAATGACTCAAATTCACTCTGATCACTCGATTCATCCTCTGTTAATTCGCTTGCTTCCTGGGACAACTTTTTTTCGTCTTCATTTTCCATCATATCAGCATCCTCTGGTGGTTCCCATCGGTCTTTTTCTTCTTTATTGATTTTCCCGACATATTCTTTAAGGAATGTATTTCCCTGAAGGACTCGTTCCTTACAAGCGGTGCCAGACGTCAAGATGGGCAGTGCTGAAATGTCGGATTTCTCGACTTTTTCTCCAAAAGGATCTTTGCCAAACTGTATCAGGCTGATCGAAGTGCCGACTAGTTTTTTAATGAACTCATCCAAGTTCTCTTTTGAAAATGACTGAAACAATTCCAATTCATTAACCGGGTTATTAACAAAATTAATTTATAATTTACCTTATAGTGTTGATGACTCTCATCAATAATTAGAGAAACTATATCCATTACTTCATCATGCAATCCCATACTATCCAGAACTTTATAGAGTAGCATGAATACCTTCACAGAAAATTAATTATAAATTCCTTTAAAATCATACCGAAGTGTTTTTTCTAACCTGTGGTATGCAAAGTTTTCTTAGACACTGTAAATGTGATTTCCTAGGTTCGTCATCCAACAATGTGTCCACCAACCACCCACCATCAGGAAACAAAAGAACATTGTACAACTGTGCTTTCACGATCTACATAAAAATACCACGAAATTTACATATATTTTACAATCAATGAAAAATAAATGATATAATATGAAGTTATACCTTGGTTTCATGTGCCATACGATCATTCCAAATTGCCAAATCTTCATGATATCTTTTTAACTTGTGCTCGTATGCTACTGTTTCTGAAAAATTTTTCCTCACCTGACTCACAGGTGGATTTGGTTTAGAATTATGGAACTGTTCAAACCAGTGGATGAAGCCTTCTTGTGCATCCTGGAGCAATAAACGTAATTTAGTTTATTTTAAAAAGAGATCCTTTTAAGAAATATTACAACATACTAGATAAGCCTTGTAACAAAGATATTCTTTAAGAGATGAATCCACTTTCGGAGGCAAATTATGTCTTGTAACTCTACCCTGGTCATCCACCTCACATCTATATTGCTCCATGATTAATTCTGGCGATCCTTCAGGAATCTACAACCAATGTGTGATATCAGTAAAAGTTAAAGTTAAGGAAGAAGTCATTACCTTGTTGAAAGCCTTTCTCGCTGTAGAAAGCTTTTTGAGAGCAATGAATTCCCTTATTAACGCATTGCACTCCCATAAAGCCTCGGCTCTTTGCTGCGGATAAAATATCATCCAATCCAACGCTGATATCTTGTTCATGTCTTCTTGAGTCGCTTCGTGGGCTAACGATTCGCTGAGTTCCACATCTTGCTTGCGACTCCTTTAATTTCAATATTTTTAAAATTGTGAAAAAAAATTTAATTTATAACAGGCATACCTTATACTCTTTACAACTTTTTCCGTTATAATTGGTACGTTCATTTCGTATTTTTCGGCTGCAGTTAAGCACTCTTGCCTTTCACCGTAATCTGTGACCGTTTCCATGAATTGCGCGTACTGTTCAATTTGATCTTCTTCGGGTAAAAGAGAACAGTAGTACGCGATTGAATCCACATTTCCTTCTGGTATCAGAGCCTAAAGGAAATGAAAAGTTAATCTGAATTATGAATAATCCGAAATTTCGAAATAAATTGATGTTTAGTAATTTGGAAAAAATATATAAACGTATGTTTTGTCATTAATTTAATGGCAAATCTTGCATTAACAAACATACTTTTTTTTCATGTGAGGAGAAACCTCTAATATGCGATTGGCATATTCACTGATGGGCAAATTTAAAGCATCACTCAATTTATTTAATTTAGAATTCTTAGTTACAGGTAATTGGGAGCTATCATAGTCAAAACAAACAGTGAGTAATGCATTTGTTATTTCCTTTGTTTACTTTTGTACTGACTAATCCCATTTGCATAAAAAAACAGCATTATGCCCTTCCATTCTGCTATATCTAAAGATGGCTTTCAGTTTTTTTTTCTCTTTTTTCTTTCTTTAATCTCTGATATTTTTTCCTTCATTGATTTCATTTGGTTTTATTCTTAAACCTTTACGAAAATCAGGGCCCGGCAGCCGGCTTGTGGAACTCAGAAAACGACCAGGCTTCAATTCGCACGGAAACGTGTGGATTGGACATTGTAAGATTAAAGATGATGTAAGAGTTGGCCATTTTTATATGGGCAGAATTTCATATTGAGATGCTAAGGAGAAAGGTACGACCTATGATGTACGGTTCCTCAGGTGGTATTCCATGGTGGGTCATTGATGTTTTGAGGTGGCACCGAACTGTTTGTTGTGCAAGGATCTCAAACTTCACAGAGGTACTTCCAAGACATAATCAAACATGCAGTGCATGCCATTTGCCCCCTCCACATCGGTGAGATTGTTGCTAAGGCTGCATAGAGCACATATTGCGGATGTCTACATGATTGAGGTTGGAATTGGGTGCTTCATGTGTGGCCAGCTAGTCCAGTATTTAAACCCAATCAAACACCTTAGAATAGTTGGAAATGACTGTTCATTAAAAATGGTAAAGAAGAAATAGAAGAAAGATGTGATTCGTGCCACAGGTGGATCTACTTGGTATTAAAGGGGAAAAAAGTTTTTAAAATTTTTTTTTCCGAACCCATCGCCCCAGCTTTTTCATCTAAACCATCACCTTACATAAAAAGTATTAATTAATTTAAATAATTAATATGGTCAATTATGACTACTAACTAAAACGTATATAAACAGCAACTACTTGATGTTATATTTGCCTTGAAATTTGATTTGCATATTCAAAATTCCCAGCACACATTGCTCACAAGTCCGAGACTTGATCAGTGTTCAGAGGTCCTTACATATGCCGCTCTACCCCTGGTCCTCACAACACCCGAGTGCCATCTGCCCTACCAAAGGTCACACTGACTATTTTTTAAATTAGACTTCCACAATTAATCTGTCTTCATTGGGGGGAAAGGAAAAAAAAGTTTTAAAAAAACTTGTCCTACGAGCCTTTTACATCGACTAAAATTTTTTTCATTTTTTTTTTTTTTTTTTTTTTTTTTTTTGATTTTTTTTTTAAATAAGTAAAAAACGAGCCTTTTCCATTGAAAAAGTCTATGCGATTTTTTTTTCTATTTTTTGGGGTTATTTGCGTTTTTCTTGGAAAAAAAAGTTTTAAAAAACTTGTCCTACGAGCTTTTTACATCAAAAAAGGCAATAAATTTTTTGGTTTTTTTTTTTGTTTTTCTTGAAAAAAAAAGTAAAAACGAGCCTTTTACATAGAAAAAGAATAAAAAATTTTATATTTTTTGGGTTTTTTTTTGTTTTTCTTGAAAAATGTAAAAAACGAGCCCCTTTTACATCGAAAAAGACAAAAATTTTTCGATTTTTTTGTTTTTGTTTTTCTTGAAAAAAAAAAAACCCGTAAAAATCGAGCCTTTTACATCGAAAATGAATAAAAAATTTTTCGATTTTTTCTTTTTTTTAGTTTTTCTTGAAAAAAACGAGCCTTTTACATCGAAAAAGACAATACTTTTTTTCTATTTTTTGGGGGGTTATTTGCGTTTTTCTAGGAAAAAGTTAAAAACTTGTCCTACAAGCTTTTTACATTGAAAAAGACAAATTTTTTCTATTTTTTGGGGGGTTATTTACGTTTTTCTTGGAATAAAAAAAGTTAAAAACTTATCCTATGAGCTTTTTACATCGAAAAAGAATAAAAAAATTTTCTATTTTTTTGGGGTTTTTCTTGAAAAAAAAAAAAAAAAAAAAAGTTTAAAAAAACTTGTTCTAAGAGATTTTTACATCAAAAGACAATAAATTTTTTTTCGATTTTTTTTTTCTTGAAAAAAAAACGTAAAAAAACGAGCCTTTTACATCAAAAAAGACAATAAATTTTTTTTCGATTTTTTGGGTTATTTGTGTCCTACCTGTAAAAAACAGTCTCGAAATAGTGAAATCCTTGTCACTGAGTAATTTTTTAAATTAATTTATTTTTTAAAGAAATAGGTAATAAACATTTTCTTTTTAATCTCTTATTTTTACAACCAAACCTCTCTTTTTAGTAAGCAAAATATGAATAAATGTAAATAAATTAAAATTCGAGGGTATTGTCGTATTTATTTTTTACATCAGAGTATAATTTCAATGAAATTTTTTTTATTCTGATTTTCTCCACGTTAGCGGTTCTGTGTTCGAATCCCAACATAGCCCATTGCTTTTTAATTGATAATATTATAAAAGAAAGTATTTAAAGCAGTTTGACCCCTCATCTGATACTCAGTGAGTGGGTAGTTGGATTTTAAGACTTCCTGCATGACAGGATTTTCTTTTTTTACTTATCAGAGACGATTAAAAAAAAAATGTTTTATAAAATGTGTGATATTAATGTCACTATTCTTAACTCACGTTGACATACGCTTTGATGACATTATCGCCCAAATTCTCAGGAGTGGAATATCCGAGGAGTCTTAAAATGAGTACCAAATGTGTGATGAAACGTAAAAACTGAGGTTGGCACTGTTCCTCCAACCATTTGGAACATTTGACAAGTAACTCTCCCGGTGATCCGAGTATTATCATTTCCTGTATTATCCTATCAGGCCGACTACCTTCACCGGTATTTCCAATTTCTTTGAGAATCCCTTCCATTGTTTTCCTAGAATAAAATTTGACCAATAATTTATTTATAATCACATTTATTTATTACATTCAAAATGAAATTATAGACACTCACAAATAACCCCAATACTGCACAGGCATATCTATGTAATCTTTAAACGAATTGTCTCTAATTTCTCTTTCGACTAAAATGTCGACGGCTGTTCGAGTATATGCCCACAATTTATCTTCCCAGCTGGTACAGTGCGGCAAAACTGAATCCAAATGGCCACACAAAGAACCCATAATCGCCTTGTCATCTTCAGACACTCGAGGATCTTCACACATCCTCCAAGCACACAATTTCCAAATGTCCCTAAAAAAAAATTGTTTAAACCCAGGATGTAGAATTAGAAAGGCCAAAATATACCTCAAAGGGTTTCCTTCGACAGGAAGTTTCTCATTGTTATCTTGTTTTAAATAATTTGGATCATGGAACAATCTCCAACCGTCTAGAGTAGATGCCCTCCATGCTTGACCACAGTGAATACAAAGCTTTTGCGCTTTGTCTAATTGGCCTCGCCGAATTTCAAAAAATACCTAAAATATGTATTTAAAATAATGCAACATAATTCGAACCATTATCATTTCATACCTGTTTTAAAAGGCGTTTCTCATCATCCATATCTAAATCGTGTAAAGGTTTGTTTTCCCTGAGAGGAGCATCTGGGTCAAGGCTTGAAACAATTTCCCTCGTGCTCTTATAGGCAATATTCGACGTTTGCAATTGATAAAGTGTATTTTCCCAAGCAACCGTCATATCAGTATAATGTGCAATATCATCTCTATCTAATAATTCCCATTCATCTCTGGCATTCCTTTCCAGCCAATCGATGACAAGTTGGGCCTTTAAAATCCAAGAAAATCAAATAACGGTTCAATTAAAAATAAATATAAAAAATAATATACCTCTCTAATGGAACTGTTATTTTGATAATAATTTAAAATTATATCTTTTTCACTTAACGGACTATTAAATCCCATATTAACATTTTCATTAAATTCATCCTGATAGGTAGTCCTATTTTTGTATAGAGCAAAAAGTAATCTCCAAGTATTTCTCTCTTGAACTAGCCATGATATATCCTAAAATAAATTATTTTCTTTAATAATCCAAAACGTTTCTTCGATATTTTCTGGGATAGTTACGTTTCCTTGTTGATCTGTGAACCCTCTTCCTGATGATATTGATTCAATAGTTGTTGTACATACTTCAATGAAATTAGATATTACATCAAACACTTGCTGTGTGTCCCCCTGGGTTTGAAATATTGTTTGAAACTGGAGGAACAAATTATCCGATGCTAAAAATGTTCAATCAGATCAAATAATGTATAAAAGATAAATATTTCATAAATTATTAAAATTAAATTTTAAATTTTTTTTAGCAATAATTCCAACTCAGTACAACTTCATTGATTATAATATTGCCAACACACAAGGTTTTATGTACTTATATAGTATAGCATAAACATAATGTACACTTCTATTAATTATCCTTTTTATATAAGGTCTTGGTTGAGATGAAAAAGTCAGTGACATGAGCATGATTCGAATCCATGACCTTCGGCTCGATACGCTGCTGCTCTAACCAATTGAGTTATTGTGGCTTTAAGTTCTCTAAGGTTGTGGGTTCAAATCCAAATTGTGACACTAACTTTTCCATCTCAACCAAGACCTAAGATAAAAAAAATTAATTGAAATAATCAATATGGTCAATTGGTCAATTATGTATGGATTTTTTTTTTTTTTTTTTTTTTTTTTTTTTTGAGGCCCTCTTTTTTATATCAATTATTAAACAAACCACAAACCACTCTTCATGGGAGTTAATGGCATGTAATAGTTTAAGACCGGAGAAATAAATAGAATAAAGAAATTAGAGAATCAAGGTTTATTTTTTTAATTTTTTTTTTTTAACTCTATCTGCATAGACAATAATGAATTTTCTTGCCATTTTATAGAGTGAGAATAAACATTAGATGGTGGTATAAGTAAACAGTGGAAAAATTTCATATTTAATTATCATTAATTTTAACTTGGCATTTGGCCTCAGTGGGAAGACTAAATCATAACAGAAGACCCTACCAAAGCAAAAATGAATAAAACTATCTCAGTTAATGTTTAGCTATGGTTCTAAAATACATGTATTGAAAAATGACATTAAATAGATGGTGGTATAAGTAAACAGTGGAAAAATTTCATATTTAATTATCGTTAATTTTAACTTGGCATTTGGCCTCAGTGGGTAGACTAAATCTTAACAGAAGACCCTATCAAAGCAAAAATGAATAAAAATATCTCAGTTAATGTTTAACTATGGTTCTAAAATACATGTATTGAAAAATGACATTAAATAGTTTCATTTATTATGTGGAACTTGTATGCAAAAAATTGTCTCCAGTAACGTCAACCATCTTAAAAAAGTTCCACCAGATTTTAAGTAATCTGACTGCGTAATTTTTGAAAAGGTTTTCGATATAATTAAATTGGACCAACTTTTCTCACCAAATCATCTCACCAGAAATATAAACAATTAACTTTCAATTGCACAATATTGATAAAAGGTCATACATATTATTTGAATCGGTTTTTCTATAAAACGTAAAAGGTTCTCTTTAAATAGTAGGATTGTTGCTTACAGTAATTCACTATAGTGGTCATCATTGTTGACATTGTAGTGTCCAATAGGCCGGACAGTTCATCAGGGTTGATTGTTATCGATAAGCTGTTGAAGTCTGACATCCTCAATTTTTTCATTTTCTTCCGTCTCTTAGGACTTAATTCTACATCAGAAAAACCCAATGTGTTCGACATCATGTTACCCGCTAAAAAATAAAATAATTAATTAATAAAAGTAAAAAGTAATAATCCTTTTAAAAAAACAAAAGGTTGTATGAAAAATTTATAAATGAAGTATTAGGGAAATTATATATTAAAAAATTTACCTAAACAAGTGTGTTTAAATAATGATTCAAATCAGTGCTGGTGACAGAATTTTTTTTAAAACCCTTTTTCCCCCAAGCTATACCTTTCATAGCATAAATTTATGGTTTGGGAGGGTTGATGGCAGTCTATTTAGTTTATGCCTAGAATATGAATAATATAGTACTACATGGCCCTACTGGATGGAAATTACGAATGTGAATTTAATAATTGTTTAGTCGGAGAAAATATTTCCTTATTGCAAGTTTGTTTGTGTTGAACATATCAATTGTAGACTGCTTATTACCAAAAGTTAAAATTCTAAAAGTGCTAGAATGAAGTAAGTAATTATATTTTTGAGTTTGGACTGAGAAGGGAATTTTGAGTGTTGTGAGAGCTGACATTAAAATTGGGGGCTATTAATGTTACTATTGATAAGGCTTAAGTATAGATGATCGGAGGAAATATCCGCAGAAGGGATTTTTAATTTAAAAGGAGCATTCTTAAAAATTTAAGTTTGGTACAAAGATACTTTTGATAGGGTGACCAGATAGGACTAGCATACTCTAAACAACTACGAATTATGAGGCAGAGTTGAGTATTGCGAATCACAAACAGTAAAAATTTATTAGTAATATTGGTTACATGCTGACAAAATTCAAGGGAATGAGTTAATGCCACACTAAGATTTTTTAAATGTGGCCACAGTTTGTAGTTGCAATTTGTAACCAGAATAGGATGAATTAACTTTTTTATTAGATATAAAAAAATGACATCATAAAGCTGTTATTAAAGTTTAAGTACATTTTTTGAGAACCAATCAATAAAATTTGAAAAAGCAATTTAAAGTATTTTTGTGCCATTATCATTATTAATTATATGGTACGGCTGGACGACAGCAAAGAGCAAGAATTTTAATTTCTGAGGGAGAAATTTAGCAACATCTTTAATAAAGATCAGAAATAATAAAGGGCCTAAATGAGAATCCAGCGGCACTCCAGATTTTGTGTTGATAAATTCAGACAAGGAATTATTAATTCTTACTTGAAGTTGTCTACCATGCAAATAACCATGAAACCACAACAATATGGGCCCACGGAAGCCCAGAACATTTAATTTCGATAAAAGCAAATTAGAATTGACACAATCAAAAGCCTTACTTATGTCAAAGTACATCAATTTGTTTATTGTAGGAAAAAGCATTTAGTATAGAATTTTCAACAGCAGATTTGACGTGGTTGATTTGTTAAGTTGAAAACCATGTTCGGATAGTATAAATTTTTGAGGGGCTATGATATCATAGACAAGAGATTTGTAAAGTTTAGCAATGAAAGAATGATGAGAATCTACATTCTCATCTCACCTTCATCATTTCTATGTAATAACGGTTTGTATGTTCTCAACTTTTGAAATAATTATATGGGTTAAAAACTCCTGCTGTGTTAAAGGTTTTTTGGTACTTATTATTGTTTCTACCACCGGTTATTTCTTAAACAAGATTTTTTTTAAATAAATCAATAACGAAGCTTACCCATGCTGGGAATGCTGCCCATGGAATAATTCGATTTATGCTTACGAAATTGTTGAACGTTTCCAGGAGATATGTATTCCTCCCTTTCCTGTTCAACGTTGCTGTGCCATTCCATTTTGTAAAGCCAATAAAATCGTAACTAAACGAAGTACAAATTTTACAAAATAGGCCTAAATTATTGCGGCCCAACACGTCTAACTACTACACTTTATAAAAAATAATTAATAGTAAGTACAACGCGTTCATCTACTAGGCTCGATTTACCGCTTAATCAGGTTATCCATTTGAGTAGGTTGCAGTATGAAGCATAGAAGGACAAGGTAAACCGTTTCTATGTGACGTCATAAAAAGAAAATTTCTTCAAATGAAAAGTCTCTACGTTGTTAAGGTACAATAATAATTAAAAGTAAATCCATTATCTTGGGAATTAAAACCGAAAATGGCCTATTGGCTATTCACGGCAAAAATAAGACCCAGAATGGATCATTAATCTGGTGGAAAAAAAGCTCAACAAAAAGTAGCTACCCAAACATTAGGCAGCATACAAATACTAGCAAACCTATGTATCACAGGGGCAATGAGAACAACCCCTACAAATGCATTAGAAACTCTGCTAAACCTACCTCCACTGGAAATGTTTATACAAAGAGAGGCTAGGAAAAGCTCATTTAGGTTCCAGAAATCAAATTGGATAGGAATTAAACAATTCGGGCATACAACCATAATATTGACTGTCGCTGCTACAATTTGATTCCCTAAGTTTTTCTCGTATTTTAGGGTTGTTAGTAATTAAATCTCCATTGAGCTGTTGCTTTGTACTCGAAGATGATATGGGTGGCTGTTTCCTCCTCTTCATTGCATAATCTGCAGATGGGATCATCGTTTTATATGCCCATGTTGTGTTTTCAGATGCCAGTGACCGGTTAGTAGTCCTACCTCTCCTCTAACCGAAGAGCTCAAATCTAAGTTTTGACAATTTTCTAATCTACTTTCCTCACAGAATGTTTGTTCAAATATGCAAAAAAGCAATGTTTTATTGATTTATCTTTTTAAATCATACCAGATTATAATACTCTGCGTCGTCTTTGTTTTTATGTTAACCAACAAAGAAATTATTACAGCAAAAATAATAGGCTTTAATCTATAAATAACAATTTATGCTCATTTATTTAAATTTACTTTATAAATATTGATTATTTATTATTGATTATTATTTTTATTAATATTGATTATTAGGAGGACGTGAGATGCGGTCTAGTGTGACGTAGGTTTTAGAAAGACATTTTCTTTATCGTGCCAACGTTTCGATCTTTATTGAGATCATCTTCAGGGATCAAAGTGTTTGTTTTCTATGTAGGTGTGTCATTCTTGTGTGTCGTGTTGTATTAATATTTCAATTTATACAATACAAATAAATTCATTCGACCAGAATTATATTTGATCTCTCCGGCTTCAAAATTAATGAATTTGAATTTTGTTTTCAATTTTCAAAAAATGTCTTGGCAAAACCGAACCTATTCACACGTATCCGCCACTTATGCGTTTTCGATATTATGGAATGTAGACTCATTAAAAAAGCTTGGTCCAAATCCGTAACCCACAACCTGATCCTCTACACTGGGAAGAGTTCTTCGGTGCTTTAGAGAAACAGGGCTTTACACTAGAAGGCCAGTTTTTACTCTTTCTGTTACAACGATGAGGAGAAGTATTCTTCCAAAACACAGTGTTTCCTCTTATTTAGTGTATAACTGATCTGGAACCACCAGATCAACTGGAACCAACCCGACCAAGGGAATCCTTTGAAATTCCATCTAAGTGTTTCCTGCCTTGGCGCAGGAGGCGTAGATGTCGCTGGACGTCTCATTGCTGTAGTGTGCTAGAGTAAATGGTGATATACTCATCACACCTAATTTAGGCTTGCTCAGACGATTCTTGATGTATTGTGTTCTTTGGAATAATTCCTATACCTCGCATGCTCTGTTTCCCGTTGGCGGGAACTTTCTTATACCAGATGATTCCGCTTTGTTTCCCTGTGATTGTTTCAATAAAACCACCGATCTATCAACATATCGCTAAATGCTAAATTGTCGCTCTATTATATTTATTGTAACTACGTGCAAGTGCATGTTGATCTTTTTGTTGTTGAAATTGGGCGTAGGATAAAAGCCACCTATCATGTTTTCTGTGTGATTTGTTCGATAAAATTCACATGGCTTTGGCAGAACGAAATCCATCTAACTTTTGTTTCAAGAATCATTTATCTATTGCGTACCTTAATGACTAAATATTATACTTATATACTGTATTTGTGGCGCTGTTTGTGAATCAGGTATTGTCCGAACAAGCTGCTAAGAGGAAATTTTATAAATCAACAATACATCCGATTAAGGAGAAGTGGTAGAGTAAGAAATAGAACAAAATTGTATTGATTTTTAAGTTTTAATTTTTATTCACATTTACACTGATATAACTAAATACAGATTCTAGTTATTTTCCTGGACTGGGAACCATGCTGCACAGGCTTCTGAAGCAATTTCGCACATTGTAGAAAGTGCCTTTCCTGCGGTTTCATAATCTACAAACAAAAAATTATATGAACTCTGTCCTATGCCAAATTTTTGCGTGTCATATTTGAAATACGTTCAAATAATCATTTTAGTAAGGTCTTTTTAAAAGGAACAGAAAAAAGTATATTTGCTAATTCTGATCGACCGATAACCAATCACTTGATATTTAAGCTAAAGATTTTACCAGTTGGAGGTCCAGTGCGTTTTCCGAAGATACTGCCGTTGAATGGAGGCTTCTTGTATGATGCGGTAGCCACGTCAAAAACCAGAAAGGAAATGACGAGGAGAAGGCAGCTGGCAAAGATGACTCGGCTCATGTTTAAATTCGTCTGTTACTGCAGAAATAACCTAATAAAATAATTTATTTATTAAATCTTTCCAGAATGGACATTTTAAAATTGTTTTTTGGTTAAACCTTATAATTCTGGACGTTTATATAATTTTTTCTCCCAAGAATATCTCAGGGTCTCAAAGGCCTAAAATGACAGTCGAACGAGCTAAATATAAGAGGGAGCTAATCCTGAAAAGAAACCGTAAAGGGAAGAAAATCCTAATGTTTCACCTCCGGTCTCTTCCATCTCGAGGCCCCCCAAAAACCAGCGCCAACGCCAGCCAAAAATGGTAAAAGGTACAAGTCACTGGGTAGCATCCCATCATCAAGAGGCAGTGCTCTTAAGACATGTACTAAGGAAAACAAAATTGAGGTGACCTATATGGAACATACCATCCCCCATTGGAACATAGTTGGTGGGAAGGGCAATGAAATATATCAGCAAGCACCCAAAGCACTAAAAATGGCCGTGGTGTTGGAGAAATACCCAGACAAAGAATTAACAGCCCATCAGGGCAGGGCCGTCCAGCGAGCCGTCCTAGCTAAGGTTTGGAGCTGCAAAAACTACAAAGGACCTCGGTTCAGGAATGTGTAACTAGAAAAAGGGGCTGTCCTGATAACCTCAGAGACCAAGGCTCGTGAAAACTGGAGGATTCGCTGAACATCCAGGAAATAGCATAAGAATTTCTTGGACATTGAACATCTTTACAACATCCATTAGTCTCAACAGATTATAAAGGAGAGGAAGAACACAGGAGAAAATTAGTTACAATGATATGGTATACAGATTGCAAAACGCTAGGGAGCCAAGACACAAAGGAATTTTGGGTAATGAAAAAGCAGACACTCTGGCCAGAGGAGAGGATCTGCAAGATCATGTATAGGCTATGAACCTATACTTGGTGTAACAAAAAGAATAGACAGAACCCTCCAACATAGAATAAATGCAAAAAAAGAGAAGTGGATAAACTCTAAGGGCTCTAGACAAAGTGATAACACAACCCTTACCAAGAATAGCAAACTCACTGCTTCAATTGGAGAGGGTCAGAATCATAGGAGTGATAGGACTATTAACCGGTCACTGGCATTTTTAAGAAAACATCTACATAACATGGGCAAATTTATAATGGTGCAGAATATACAATGAGGAGGAAGATACAAAGATACCCATATCATCTTCGAATGCTTAGTAACCGAATGAAATTGCAGCAGCTATAACCAATGATGCTTCTGAAAAGATAGCCAGAAGATTGAAGCGCTTGGTGAGCACAAACCCCGCTTCCTAGCATCATCATCATCATCATCAACAACATTTCTTTATATTATGTCTTAGCCGTTGATATAAATTTTCCAAAGGGTGTACTTACCTTTCTGAATAGTCAGGACAGACTGGTGCTTTCCGGTAAAGTCTCGGGACTTTATATAGCACCCACCTCGGATCGGATAACAGCATTAGCTCTGGAATCAGCCCTTAATTGCGGCCAAGGTACCGCCCAATCCCTGCGAGATTGAAAAAAATCGAATGATGTTATTTTAAGAGGAAATCTTTGGAGTAATAATATATTGAAAGAAGCATAGTCAAATTGATTGAGTAACAAACAAGCTAGTCAAATTTTGGATATTATCTCACAAAAATTTTGTTTTTTAATTGGCTCTTGTTCTAAGTTGAATTTTTAGAAATCAATTATTGTTACAAGAGTTTCATATAAAAAAATCGATTAAAATGTTAAATCATTTTAAGCTGTTTGGCGTTATTAACAAAGCGTCTTACTAGTTATTAATTATTATGCATATCGTAAATGATTATAACAAGAAAACGTAAAAAAAATTCCACGTAATTACAGATAAGGTACAATGTTTTCTTTTATAAACCGTAATTAATCAGAGTTAGTAAGATTATTATAACGAGAAATAATCTAATTTTATTTATGAAAAGAAATCTTGATGATTTATCAATTTCTAACAGATGTCGTACCACACCGTACCATTCTCAGAGCGCAAATAAACTACAAACAAAATTTGATATACGATCAAATTCAATTCAACAAATCAGTTTTTGTTGCGATGAATAACAGCTACATAAATTTAACATTCTAAGGCTAAATAAAAAATAAACAGAAATTCTACTCAAATCTCAAACATTAAACCCTAACATCAGCACACACACACACACACACACACACACACACACACATTCTTTCTAAATAAGTAAAGAAATGAAACTATTTTGAACGTACAAAATATTTTACTAGTTCTTTAAATTCACAAATTTCGTGGTCCGCTTGACCAATTAAATCATTACAATTAATTAAGGTTTTTAGTTGAGATGAAAAAAGTCAATGGCACGAGGAGGATTCGAACCCACGATCTTCTGCTAGATACGCCGCTGCTCTACCACTTGAGCTATCGTGACCTCGATCCACTCGGACATCAACTTCCTATCTCAACNATAGGTCACGATAGCTCAAGTGGTAGAGCAGCGGCGTATATAGCCGAAGATCGTGGGTTCGAATCCCGCTCGTGCCATTAACTTTTTTTCATCTCAACTAGAAGCCTGAATTAATTGTCATGTATTAATTGGTCAAGCGGACCACGAAAGTAGTGAATTAGAGATAATAATTGTGATTGACCATAACTTTGTTTTATAGTTGCATGGCATGGATAAACGCGCCTGCAGAACCTCGATATGCTCTATCAAGGGCTTCAAGTGGTCTCCGCTACGTTTAAAACAAGCCCTTTGGTTGTGTTGAGAGCTGGGAGTTCTGATTCTGATGATTGCCCTAAAGTTCCTGGCCAAACCGAGACATCCGCTTTCGGGTGCTATCCTTAAAGGCTAGTACAGCAGAATGTCCGAGCGATTTCCGATTTCAGACCCGTATGCGACTGTTCGCGACATTTGAAGAGTAAGGTACATTGTTTGCTGGCATCGAGGCGGCCTTAAATAGTCGTCCTCTGTGCCAACAATCATCTGACCCCTCTGAATCCACCCATTGCTTGTCTCCCGGACATTTTTTAACCGGTGCTGCTTTATTATCGCCTCCTGAACCTGAAAACCTCGAAAACGAAACCCTTAAAACTCGATGGGAGAAACAAAGGCAGTTGTTTCAATCCTTTTGGCGACGTTGGAGTAGAGAGTATCTGAATCACTTAATGCAGCGCAATAAGTGGTCTGGCCAGTCAACCCCGCGTAAAGAAGGCGATTTAGTTTTTGTAAAAGGCGTCCTCTCTCACCCCTTGTCATGGCCCGTAGGCCAAATAGTTAAATTGCTTCCTGGACCGGACAAAATTCTTCGTATGGCCGTTGTCCGAACCGCTTCAGGGACAACCCGCTCGTTTGTTGGTCTCGTCCCGCTACCAAGCGTTCTTAAGGAATAATATCCCTACTCTTAGTACATGTAAATATTGTAAATAGAAATTGGTGATGGAAAATTATAATTTTGGTGGGCGGTATGTTCGCGCCAAAAATCGCGAATTATGATTGTTTATTTTTTTTCCAAAATGCCGCTAATCTAGAATTTATCCTAGCTCTGGTCCCTCCCCACAATCCTGTCCTGTTGCTGCCTAGTCCTGCTCTAGTCCTGTTCGCTACCGTCTCGCTTCCATACAGTCCACTATTAATTAGCCTCCAAGAGTGATTTTCTTTTAGTTTTCTTTCAGTTTTTCTCTTATTTTCAAGAAGCATTTTTTTTCTTTTGTTTCGTTTTGTTTGTTCAAAATAACGCGAGTGTCTCCTCCCGCATCCTTAATGCGACACAGGGTTCGGACGGAGCCCCGAAGGTAATTAATAGACTAGGATTCTGTTTTATCTTTGGCCAGAGTTATTGCAGGTTCTATCTATTAAACGGCTCTCCTCCCTGGTCGTCGAGAAAATCAAGCCACAGTTAACAAGTTAGTATTTTATTTTATTTTGCATTTTATTTTGTATTTTATTTTATTTTATTTTATTTTTATTGCGACCGACCAGCGCGTGCACAGCGACCATTGTGGCTTTAGAGAGGGCAGGGATCTGGGCGACTCCTGGGCCCTGAGTCCTCCCAGACGTACTCTGTCATCGAGGTACGTCCACTTCAAGGTCGCTCCCAACCTCACTAACCTTCGGACTTAACTGTGATCCAGCCCTCTGTTGCTAAAAATGCAATAAATATCATGATAAAAGTAGGTGGCAGCGTCGATGTCATCGGCCCAGAACCATTCGAGTATGAAGAGCACTGACCTTTGGAGGATCTGATTCGTCGGAGAAGAATCAGCCTCGCCTGATTAAGAATTGGCCATGCGAAGTTGAAACTCGAACTTTTGGGCCAAATCCCGCCGCAAAGAAAGGTTGCTCAATGTGTCCTACCTAATTGAAGGGTGCAATTCCTTGGCTATCTGGGTCCCCTGTTCCGATTCTTAGAGTAAACAAGGTTGTTTTATTGTATATAGTACTAATAGTTTTGGGTCTCTAGGTGTGTCGGGAATGAATGTATTTATTAGCTTGAATGTATAGAGGACCGATAACAGAATATCGAATACTCCAAAACCCTAACTGAGTGATTCGTATGTAAACAAGAAAGAATGTTTATTGAGAGTGTGAATTTGTTTGGATTTAGGAACGGATTGCTTTGGGGGCTGAAATGACCTGGTTGTTGATAGCTCCTGGAGCCCAACCTCGGAGGCTGGATGGTTAAAATTTCTAAAGTCTGACTCCGGACAGCCAACATCCGGGGTGGGTGTCTCGAGGCTTGCCGGTGTACTGGGGGATTGGTTCATGCATATATGTATGTTGTTAAAAAAAATACACAAACACCCTGCTTAAATTAAAACAAGAAAACGTAGATAATTTAGAAGAAAATCATAGATAAAATAAACAATATATGCGTAGAGTACCTGCTTTGTGTACGTGCTGTATCCGAGTGTTCAGTTTTGTTAGACGACCCTCGCCTCATAAACGGTCGTGGGTTCAAATCCCCTGTCTTTTCTGGAATTTTCTTTCTCGCTTTTCTTTCCCAACAAAAATATTAATCTACCTATGAGCGTTCTGTCTCTGATATGGAATGTCATAAGGCCATTAAAGAAAACGAGAAAGTTGATTGAAAATTACATTTTTTGGTCAAAAAATAATAATGACACACTTAATAACACTAACATTAACAACACTAGATAATATGACACACTTCCATAAAAGGGTACATTTTGTCTTCGTTTTCTCTAGCGTTAAAAATCGCATGTGTACGCAAGATTAAAAGTTTAAGTGGAGTAGTTCAGAAACAACGAATTTGCAGACTTAAACAATAAACTTATTTTCGTGATTTTATTTATCTAGAATTTAGCTCTATTTATTTTTTTATTATGATTTAGCTGTTTGAAAAGGTGAAATTTAGAGGAGTCTGATTGTTTCGCTAAATTGAAGCAAACTTAATTTTTAATGATTTGGATTAATGGATTAATTACGGAGACTGATGTTAATTTTTTTATATCCGTTAAATTTGATGTATTGATAAATAATAATTCCCATACGGAAACCCAACCACTTTCCTGGCCTCATCAACTCGTTTGTAACTGAAAAGGAAGCCGATAGTTTTGTAAAACAGGGTGTCTTTTTCGGATTGGTCGGTTGAATTTCTCTTGAACCAATAAGGATATAAAAAAAAAGTGTTTGATATTTTAGTATAGTTTCAAATTTTTACCTTTTTTTTTAGAAGAATTATACACCTCAGGCCCAATTTAACTTCAGAATTTCAAATAAGATCATATACATAATGACACATCATTTTAAAGGTTTTTTATGCTGAAAACAATGGTGCAGTAGAGGATTTTAAATTGGTCAGAAAATGACAAAGCTGTGCCAAAAGTTTCCAAAAAAAAAAACAATAGTCATTTGGTTTGCTATTTATTCTATTTATGTTCAAACTGCCTGCCTTTCGTAAAGATAAAAAGCTTTGCTCTTTTTAACCACCCTTCACCGGTCACCACTCTATCTCAGGACTATAGAGTCAGGGGAGATGGATTGACAAGCATTTTCGACCCTTTGCCGCAATTCTTTAACTTAGGCTGCTGGGTTATGATTGGCGTAGGCACTGTTTTTTAAATGGCCCCATAGAATATAGTCAGCTGGAGTTAAATCGGGTGACCGAGGAGACCTCAACAAACCATCAGGTCCCATCCACCTATCCCGGAAGTGACGATTCAAATAACGTTTAACCTGTGGGGCATCCATCAAGCTGGAGAATCATTCATTGTCGTTCTTGCTGAGAACATCATCTAACAGTGTTGGTAAGGTTGGTTAGGTTTATATGTGGTGTGTTACAATCACAAAGAAACAAATACCCTTACGGCACTTAGAGCAAACAAACCCACTTAAATTATCGAGGGCCAATATATGCAAAAAAAACTGTCACAACTCAAAAAGGGGTAGGTTTTTTAGGGGTAGTACAGCTGGATTTTTAAAGTTTTGTCTTTTCACTTAAGTCTTGGAGCTACGA